CCAATGATGTATAAAAAAAGGGTTTGAGATTGGTGGCGGGCAAAGCCACAGTACTGAATCAAAGTTCTGCTCTCCTTGAAACAAGCACAGATTTAAATAAAATAAAGAGTTTATTTTGTACAATTATAAAACAAATGTTAAAGTACTGATGGTCCATGTTGTTCAATCTCTTCATCAATAATATTAAGCAATAATTTTGCATTGTAATTAAATTCCAATTCAATCTGTGAGTTAGCTGTGCCCTAACTTTGATCAACCAAGAAGTGTTTTCARGRTATAATCTAGATAAAATTTGAATTTTGTTTTGGAGGAGAGTCACATGATTTGGAAACTTAGTATGCAATGCTTTGTTAGATTAAAGTACTGGGTTTCTGGTGTACATGCATTGAAGAATCTTCAGATAGAGATAGATTTAAGAGTAAATGGTTTGAACCCAGGTTTTGGAGTTTGTTGTAAAGTGTTTTTTCACATTTTCCCCTTTAAAAAGCATATATTATACTTTATATATATGTGTGTGTATGATCAGGAGTGAACAAGAAAAATTTTAAACTCCAGAATTTGTCACCATCCTGTTATTCAGCATAAAAAACGTGATTGTGAATTTGATTTAAAGTTTGTTTTGGTGGCCATGGTTAATGTAGTCGCACTTTAGCCATCTGCTAGATAATCCAACTATGTGTTGGGTCCCCAACAGGGTGTAAAGTCCCAGACATCAACACCAGTAGGTAGTCCAGTACATGGAGCAAGAGCAGCAGAGAGGCAAGAAGAGGCCAACCCCAACAATCCATCTAACTCAGTTCCAGTTGACAGCAGCGGTGGTGGATTCATGTCTTGGATGCCTAGTATTAGAAGCTCAAAGTCTGCAGATCAGTCTGACGCTGCGAAGCAAGTCCCAGCTGTACAGGTACCTAATGTATATAASATGAAATTAAAGGTTCAGGGCCCAAGGATTGGTACATGAAATTAATGATATATATCANGGAGCAAGAGCAGCAGAGAGGCAAGAAGAGTTGAACCCCAACAATCCATCTAACTCAGTTCCAGTTGACAGCAGCGGTGGTGGATTCATGTCTTGGATGCCTAGTATTAGAAGCTCAAAGTCTGCAGATCAGTCTGACGCTGCGAAGCAAGTCCCAGCTGTACAGGTACCTAATGTATATAACATGAAATTAAAGGTTCAGGGCCCAAGGATTGGTACATGAAATTAATGATATATATCATTTCATGGCCCTTTTCTATTGATGTATTATTGATAATCAAACAACATTTAGAAAAGACCTCTTTGGGTTTAAAGTAATGCCTATTTCAGACCATGTGTCACACCCTGGCTACTGCAACATTTCTTTATTTAACGGTTGCACATGAGAAGACACATGAATATGGAATCTTAAGAAAATAAAACATGGTCTGTTAGTCTTGAATTTTTAAGAGGTGGTTAATATGAGCTGTATACACTRAGGGTGGTCACTGCCAGGGTTCCTTTACATCCTCAGTGGTTCTTCTACCACCAACCTCCCTGGGCAGTGATGATGAGATGTAGAGAGCAAGGACCGCCATTAACAGTGGCTCCTTAGATTCAAGCCAATTAAAACTCTAATTTACCTTTGGTATGTTTTTTTTCCCTTCGTTTTCTTTGTAGGATTTTCCAGCAGCACTTCGACAGAGAGGCTTGACTGACAGAGAACAAATGGACTCGGATATTATAAGTAAGTAATACAAAATAAATTTTTTCCTGAACTTTATGATTATCATATCCTTGCAAGGCGTTTATCTACCGTAGATAGGATTAATGAGAAACAACCAGTGCAGAATGAGCATTTTTATCTAGGGCTTAATTTTGTCCTATTTAAGACCACTTGTCATTCTCTTGAGAATAAATTAAGATTCTTTTGAGTTGYATCYATATTCCTGTGTCTTCTCAYGTGCAACGGAATGACATAAGGAATGACACRTGGTCTGAAATGGGGAAAAATTACGYCCAAGGTAAAAAGGTCTGTAGGAGGTGTCTCTTCTTACGTGCCAGCTACGTGAACTGCAATATCCCAGAAACCCTAAATAGCTGGTTGCCAGCGCATTGCTCAATTGATCAATTGGATTAGTTTAATGGTGTCAAACGTTGGTTTTACTGTTCTGTGTACCTTTATTTTTCATCGCTATTTTTTACCTTTTTTCACATTAGGAAAATTAATCATCTCCTATTTCGTAATTGTGCGCAAGTCAATTCAAGATAGGTAAGATTGGTTCTCTTTTTACTGTTTCTCTAAATAAGATAATAATAAAAGTTATTAATAATTTTGTTTTACTGGCGACATAGGAGTAAACGGTAGCGCAGGATATCTGTCCATGCCAGTAAATTCTCACACAATGTCTTTTCACGGTGTCTTTTCACAGTCATACGAAAGTTSCTCTAACAAACTTGTCCTTCCATTCCATTCCGTTTCTTTTGCTACAGTCACAAGTGTATGCCACACTTTTAACACATCTTCTACTTTCTAGTGTTCCAAAGGCAATAATGTGCTTTCTGGTCAATTTTGTACAAGAGAGAATCCAAAGTGAACTTGTTGAGAAACTTTATAAGGTGAGCATAGTAAAGTTTGTTATCCCCTTGCTATTGAAAAGATGTTGCTCTGGTACTACTTTTGCACACTTTTACCAGTTAGTTCAAAATAGGAAGATATTGGGCCCAAACTAGAGGTCAATAAGAGTCATCTATTTGTACAAAATGGAATGGAAAGGGTGTTCCTCATGGAACTCCCTTGGGATCGTTTTACCATTTTGTTAAACTGCTAATAAATTATGTAAAGAACAATAAACAAGCACCTCTAGATCTACTACTGGTATGGTTTGACGTTGTCTCCATTTGGAATGACCTTGTTTTTTTAATGATTTAAGAGTGAAAAGTTTGACAGACTTCTTGAGGAATCAGAACATATGCA